ATAGCTTTGACCAAATACAAGACTATCCTCGAATTACTTGTTAGGGACTTCATCCCGATTAGGTACAGGAAGTGGATTGGGAAAGATGATGACCCATGGAGGGTTCCCGAAAGTGAGAAGGATTACATATGGGATGTTAAGATCCCAGAGTATTTCACTTTCCCAACCGAGTATGACAGGGAGTTAGTCAAGCAAAAAGCAAAAGAAATCATGGGGACATGCTTCAAGAATTTTAAGGGGACATTGTACAAGAATTTTGTCCTCCAAAATAAAGAGCCAGATTTCGATGGTGGACAGTTTAGCAAGTAGAAGGACTTCTAGCAGGATTTCAAGGAATATAGGTTATCCGAGGAGTACTTAGCACTGAGCAGGAAGAATAAAGAGAACTCACAGAAAGCGATGAATCCTCATCATCTCGGCTCTTGTGGCTACGCCAAAAAGATGCCAGAATTTAAAGCAGAACTTCAAAAGATGGATCACCTTGCTGAGGAAGGCATTCAGGTTGAGATCGCCGATTAGGAGGCCAGATCGGTATTATACTGTATGGGGAGGAATGTATGGCATGCCAAGGACGAGAGCTTTAGCTCCACAAATCAACCCATGAGCAAACTCATCCAGAGGATCTCCTAGGTAACTGAGGAGGTGAGGCAAGAGACTCGCACTTCTAATAGGGAGAAAGATGTGCTCACCCAAGCACTCAGAACCAAGGAGCACCCTGGTCGCACTAGAGGAACCGGTGTTGTTCCTTGGAAACTAGCATTCCCCCAAGAATCTAACATTTACCGGAGCCGCTCGAGGGGTAGAGCGGAACATGAGGCAGAGTATTTGAGGCGACTAAAAGAGATGGAAGACAGAATGGAAGCATGGATTGAGGCGACTATTGAAGCGTGAGTCGAGCAAATTTTGTTATCCAAGAGGTCAGGAGTACCACAAAACCCTACTCCTACTGCCTTTAGCCCACAGTTTAGGGGTCGCAGCAGCTGCGGATCGACCCCGCTCGACGAAGAAGAGGCGAATGTGCCTCATCTGGTGGACGGCATCACTGAACCCATCAATGTCAAGTTGTACATCCGTCAGGAATGGACAAAGGACAAGGTGGCGCTCGGCCAGGCCTAGCCTGCGGGAGATGGGACAATTAATGGCCGCTCAATTCCACAGGGGTACGCTTGCATCACCATTGACAGAATACTTGATAAAAAGTATAACAAGATACCCATTGAGTACCCCGTTGCAGAAGACAGGCCAAAACTTGGTCAAAACAAGGGCTCTCAAGTGGCCTAGCGCAAGCGCTTCATTAAGCTTGACCATCAATTGTCCTCTGATGATGAGGATGACTGCAAGTCTTCGCCCACCCACGATGATCACTCACCATCTCCCAATAGAGATCACTCCCCTCCTCATCCGGAGCCATCACCCCCGAGAAGACAGATGTCTCCTTCTATTCCTCCTCATCCGACTCCATCTTCATCAGCCCCGAGAAAAGAGACTCCTTCTCCTCCTCCTCCTCCATCTTCATCAGCGCTGGGAAAACAAAATTCTCGTCGTCATCCTCCTCCTCCTCCTCCACCTCAGCCCAAAACAAGATCAAGGACATACTCGCGGTCGCAGAAAAGGTCATTGGATTCGGTCGCTAATGCTCCCAAAGTGGATCAACAGAAAAGAAAAAGACCGTTCAGTGGCAGCGCTACCACCTTGATGAAAGAAAAATTTACAGCACACATCTTGAAGGAAGATTGTGTTAGTTTCTTCAATCTCTGTGCCTCACTGTCTTTATTTTTGTTGAAGTCCAAATTCGAAAGGCAAACACAGAATAAATATGCTACAACAAGAGATGAAGAAATACACAATAAAGATTTAAGGAACATACAGAAGTACGTCGAAGACAACCCAGGATTAACCATAGAAGAGGCCGTGAACATCTATTATGATGTACAAGGGATGGGAACACCGGCAATGAAGTACGAAAGGGGCAATCTTTTGGTTCCCGATCATGAGTATAAAAATTTGACAACATATATACACCAGTTACATGAATATTACATGGCTCAAGCAACAGAGACGGACGACTTTGGTTTTGAGGTTATTATTCGTTCGCCACATGTTTTCCATTATCCTAAAGAAGAGAAGTTCGATGTCGAGTGGGAGTGCTTGTTCCAGCTATACCAGAAACGCTCTCTCGATGTTCAAATGTTAACGCTGTGGATTATATAAGTACCATACACGCACGATATTACAATTAACTACTCTCTCGAGACACAAATTGTTAACTTTTGATCACTTCCCATGATTTTATGTAGGTGTGTAGCAAAATTTTGCATTCTAAAAAGCAAATAGGATTACATAGGCTTCTTGGACCCCTTGCGAGTCAATGAGAGGACATGTCTAGGCCTCCATAGATGTGATGTGGAAGACCTGAAACAGAGATTGATTGCTGTTTTCGACGAATTCATGATGAAGAAGAAAACCCACATACTTCTAGCCTACAACTGCGAGTATGTGTTCTCGCCTTTTAATTTTATGCTTCTTTTTTCGTTAAGATTATTCGATAATTAGGATTTTGTGATTGTAGCAACCATTTCGTCTTCATTTGTGTCAATCTTGCCAAAAATCTGATCGAGGTGTGGGACTCGAAGAAAAAATCATTTCATCATCTGGATGCACTGGTGGCAATGCTGAATTAGTAAGCGATCCTAATAACATATTATTTTCTAATCGCACATACTGCTTTCTAATGTTTCTCCTTTTAATGTTGCTCAGTGTCTGAAGAAGACATATCGGTGGGACGCCGGTCCCATTCAAGATTGTCGAAATGGAGGGGAAGTACCTATCACAGCCGGCGGGAAACAATGAATGCAGATTTTATGTAATGTGGGCAATGCTTCGCTACATCGGCGGAAAATCGGAAGAAGCCGATAAGTTGGTGTGTATAATCCCCATTTCATTTATGTCTGTTAATAATTCAACAAAATGATTTATTGTTCCTCTTTGGATATCATCTTTTTTGAACGACAGCGCAAGAAATATAACCACCAAATGTTGTTAGACATGGAGATCGTCGCACTGCAATCGGAGCTCGCAAAATTCATCTTAGCCGAGGTATTGGAAAAAGATGAAGTATTTTCCATTGCACAATCCGTGAAGTACAAGGACCAGTATGGCCCAGAGCGGCTCGCCAGACTATTGTAAAAAGTCCGAGAAGCATTGCACAATCTGTGAAGTCCGAGAATATTTCTTTTTTATTTTGAGGGATCGAGATCTGGATAAGAACATTTGAACTGAAACCGTAACATTTGTAATGTTTAATATTGATGGATCTGTCGTCTACGTAGCGTATATAAAGCGAAACCCGATTCCATGAAAAAATATAAATTAAAATCAATTATAGAACAATAAAATACGAATGGACCATCACTGCCGGTTAGCAACGAACCGGCAGTGTTGTCGTAACTATCACTGCCGGTTATCAACAAACCGACAGTGTTGTCTTGCTCAACACTGCCGGCTTGAGCCATGAACCGACAGTGTTGGCTTGCTCAACACTGCCGGCTTGAGCCATGAACCGACAGTGTTGGCTTGCTCAACACTGTTGACTTGAGCCAAGAACCAACACTCTTGAAGCAACTATCACTATCGGCTGGGACTATAAACCGGCAGTGTTGTTCAACTAGACACTGTCGGGTGAAGCCAGAAACCGACACTGTTGCATGTAGATCAGTGTCGGTTTTTAAGAACCGACAGTGATGTCAACCCTCATCACTGTCGGTATGCCACTATCGGTTCAAAATCCGGCAGTGAAGGAGGTTTTTGAACCGACAGTGATATCCAGATATGGGGTAATGTAACCTGGCATTGACACATATTAGTGATGGGTTGTGGTCTGACCTGGCATTGACATTCCCCCTAACACTGTCCATTTGTGACTCAACCCGACGAAGAGACCGGGCTTCACCATTGGGTCAATAGGATCTCAATCAGTGTCCGTACCTAGGCTTATGATCTGGTAGTGAAGCCAGATTACTGCCGGCTCTAGCACATCTCCAGTATGAGCCGGTAGGGATTGTGTGATCTACAGTAATTTATCATTCTTTTGAGTACCATTTTGTACAGCACTGTTTTTGTATCACGCTGACTAGAAGAGTTGTGTGCGTTTTTGCACTAGGTTGGTAGGTCCCACAGTTTGAGACCGTTGAGACAAGAAAGAGAAGTTTTCTCGTTACCAAGAACTAGAAAATGCTAAGGTAACTTCGTTACCTCTCGAGCTAGCTCTGAGGTGTCTATCTACTCTCTCCGCCCTGTAATATAGTACATTCTAGCATTCAAAATTTATCTTCAAATATAATACATTCTAGGGATAAAAACCAATTTTACATTAAATACTTTCCATTTATCAACCCAATAATCATTAATCATGTTAATAATAGCGTCTGATTAGGAAATAAAATGAGGGTGTACTGTATTACAGGACATGGAGTACTAAATAATAGGATGTTTGTCCTGCAGATATAATAAGAACAATTTTAAAATACTCCCCCACAAATACCTTCCTGTAATGGACGGTTTTTTTATCCATTCCAGACATAAAAATGGATATATTTTTAGATCGGCAAGGCTCGCCTTGGGTAGCACGTGGGCGACTCCCACTTGCACGCACACGCACCCCTCACCCCTCCCATGCCCGCGCACACTGCTGCCCCTTCTGGCCAGCCGCACGCGCACCCACCAGCCCTCCCTGTTGCGTCGTGACACAAAAATACTCATCTGATCAAATGTAAAAAAAAATGACATGGCAAATTTTAAAAATAGAGCCTCTAATTGCATCGTGAATGTAAGTTGCATTTGCATCACGTTGGCGTCAAAATAATACTAATGATTACGGTTTACCGTAGCAAAGAAGCACTCCTCAATGAACCTCCGAATCAGCAAAAGATTGATATCGACGACAGTGCAATTTATTTGCAGCAAAGAAGTGGCAGTGCAACGATGTAGTGCCGGTTCAGACTTCAGAGCGACACAGGGCTCAGCAGCGGCCTCCCGGCGAAGAAGGCCTCGAGGTTTCCGGAGACGGCATCAAGCGCCCCACGGATAGACTCCGCCGTGGCCACGGCCTTGTGGCTCGACAGCACCACGTTGTCCATGTCCAAGAGCTCCGCCGGCACGTCCGGCTCGTTCTCGAACACGTCGAGCCCGGCGCCGCCGATGACGCCCTCCCGCAGGCAGCGCACCAGCTCCGGCTCGTCCACCAGCCCGCCGCGCCCCACGTTGACGAGCACGCCGCCCGCGCCCAGCGCCTCCATCACCTCCCGGTCCACCACGCGCCGCGTCTCCTCCGTCAGCGCGCACGCCAGCACCAGCACGTCGCTGTCCGCGGCCAGCGCGCGCACCGTGGGGAAGAACGTGTAGGGGCACGGCGCTGGCTTGCGCGTGCGGGAGTGGTACGCCACGGGGCACCCGAACGCGGCCAGCCGCCGCGCCACCAGCGAGCCGATGCTTCCCAGCCCCACGATGCCGACGCGCTTCCCGCTCACCTGCAAATAATAAAGGAGTCAGATTTTGGTTTTCGATCTTCGTCGCCTGTTCATTCATGCTAACTGAAATGAATCTGGATGGAGGAGAAATCAGCAGGGCGATTCTAGGCCGCTAGATAGCATGAATCAATCGGGAACCTTGGCGGCGAGCGGGTATTCGCCTAGGGCCGCCGCCCAGCCACCGTGCCGGACGTACGCGTCTGCGGTGGCGACGTGGCGGAGCGCCGCGACGACCAGACCAACGGCGTAGTCGGCGGCGTCGGCGGAGTATGCGTCCCCGGCGTTGGTGACCCGGACCCCGCGGCGCCGGCACGCAGCGAGGTCGATGTGGTCGACGCCCACGGACGAGGCCACCACCAGCTCCAGTGCCGGGAGCGCGTCGATGAGTTCCGCTGTCACCGCCGGGAGCTCGACGGTGAGTAGCGCCCGCGCCGAGGCGGCGGTGGCCGCGTCGGCCCCCGCAACGGGGTGGAGGCGGTAGCGGGGCGATAGGGCCAGCTGGAACTCCGGGATGAGGGGATCGGCGAGGAGCACGAGTGGCTTGGCGGCGCTGGCCTCGCCGTCGCCGGATTCGGTGGCTTCTTGGGTCGCCGGCGCCATCTCCTACGCTTCTCGGTGGCCAAGCGGGAGCACGACACGACTGTCGACTTTGCGATGGAAAAGGCCAAAAGGTACCGTCCAAATGGGCAGGATTTTTCTTTCGTAAGCAACGAGGTACACGTATAGTCCAAATGGGCTAGACTAGAAAGGTTATTGAGTTACACTGAACTTGAGAACTGATAACGTTGTCATTTGTCAAGATCCAAATGGAATCCTAGAATCTTTTGATGACACCAAAACAAATCCATATCCCATCGTCGTGAATTATAAATTCCAAAGGTTAGGATCATACGATAGAGTTCTATATGATTCCACGAAATTAGGATCCTAATCATATTCCAACAACAATTTTTGTCAGCATTTTAAATTAAGTAATATTTATCAGAGAGTAAATTTTACATATATGCTCAATGCAACATGCATGTTTTTATATTTCTTTTCACATACGTATATACAACAATAAATTAAGAAACATATCTTAACTAAGGCCCCGTTTGGCACGGCTCCATTTCATCCATAAAGCTCTTTTTTGGGGGCTTCAGCTCCATGAACAGCTCTATGGGTGGAGCTGTAGCCGTTTTGATAAATCGTTTGGCAAAACAGCTTCACATATAGTTTTTCTTAAAATATGCTCTCAGAGAACGCCATGTAGATGAGGTGAAGCTGAGAGAAGCCACTATTTTTGGCTCCTTCCCACCCCAAAGCTCTGTGAGAGCACGTTTTTAGGGGCTTCATCGGTGGAGCCGTTTTATTTTACCCCATTTGGCAGAAAACAGCTCCAAGCGGCTTCTAAAGCCGCTAGAGAAGCCCTGCCAAACGGGGCCTAATACTCTGCTCAATTGAAAATATTGACTTTACTGTCTAATCTTTGATTGTTTGTCTTTTACGTGAACACATATACAATTAGCTAAACATATGTGCCATGCCTAAAATACTTGCAATAACAAATCAAATGATGTTTCTCTCACTTTACTTAACTAAATATATAAATAAAATTATTAATCAAAATGTTAACAGTAAAAGTCCAAGTTATCAATCATTTTGAAATTAATGTTACTACATTACTGAGCCTTTTAAAGTAGATTTGTCATGGACCAAAACTAGGGTATCTGAAGAGGAGGAGCTAATAACCATCAACATTGATTCATCCGAGTGATCAGGGGCACGACTGCACCTCTTGCTGGGCACCGCCTCATCTAGCCACCAAGGCCGCGGGGTCCGTCTCGCCCGACCCCTGAGGGTCGGCTTGGCCTCGGCTGGCTCCCGAGGGTTGGCTCCGCCTCATCTGACCCCCGAGGGTTAGCTCCGGCTCGCCCAATGTCTGAGGACTGGCTCTGCCCCGTCCGACCCCCGAGGGCTGGCTCCGTCTCACCCGGCCCACGAGGGTTGGCTCCGCCTCTCCCGACGTCTGAGGGCTAGTTCCGCCTCACCCGACGTCTGTGGGCGGGCTCCGCCTCGCCCGACGTTAGAGGGCTAGCTCCGTCTCGTCGTGGCGGGGCCGTTTTGAGCCCGCCCCCTACTTCCGGGCAGAGGGGCTCGCCTCCCTTGCATCTTGGGGCGCTGCGTCGGAGGCACCCTCCTCCATTGGCACCTCAGGCACAGCGGCAGATCCGCCCACCCTTGCTTGCTCTTGGGGCGCGGTGGCGGCGCCACCCTCTTCCGCTGACACCTCGGGTACGGTGGCAGATCCGTCCGCCCCTGCTGGCTCCTGGGGTAGGCCGACGGTCCGACCCGTCTCCGTTGGCCTCATGGACGTGCCTTCCCCAGCATGAAATGGGAAGAGCCCCGACCCATGCAAGGACGAGCGGGTATCTGTCAGCGTGTCCTCGCTCTCCGAGTCATCACGCTCGAAGTCGTCAACTACCTCATCGTCATCTTCCTCGTCGTCGTCATCGTCGTTGTCAGGGTCCTCCCCTCGCTCCCGTGCCTGCAGCTTCTGCTGTTTCTTCTTCCTCTCGTCCTCCTTCGCCTTCCTCTGCCGCTCGGCCTCGGCGCGATTCGTCGCCGTCACGGACGGATCCCTCAGTAGTGGAGCCGGGTGATCTATGAGGACGAGGTTCCTTGACTGGTCCCCCAATCTCAATGTCAGTATCAAGGGGTCGAAAGTTTAACTAAAAAGGAGGCATGAGGAAAGGAAACTTACGAAGATGATGTAACCCAGTTCCGACCGCATCGGATGGTGCCCCAGAACTGGATACACGAACTCAAGGAGAGCGCCGTCATCGTCCCGCAAAGGCTCCATCGCCTCCTTGATGCGCTACGCTACTTCAGAGGGGCAAAGCGCTCCTTCGGCGAGCGCCGTCCCGTCGAATGACGCCTCGGGCGCCATCGCGTACAGAGGAAGCGTGCGCCTCATCAGTGGCGCCACCCTCCTCGTGTGGTAGGCGCCGATGATTCCCAACCCCTTCAGGCCCCTCTCCTTCAAGATTCAGAGGGCGTGAGGTGGTCTCGGATCCTCTTCTTGTCCTTCTCCGGGACTCCCCACTTCCTCCATGAGTCCCGGACCTCTTCGATGAGGCGCCCGGTGAACTCTGGCAGGGGGGCAGCTGTGTCATTCTTGATGTAAAACCAATGCGAATGCCACCCCTTGTTGGAGGTCGACAGACGCATTGCCATGTATTCACCGACCCGGTTGTTGCGAAGCTAGATGTTGGCGCATCCCATCGGCGTGTTCAGCTCCTGCTTCTTCTCCCTTTTCTTCTGGAGGGTGACTGCGAAGAAGTACCACCACAAGTCAAAGTGTGGACTAATCCCTAGGAATCCCTCACACAGGGCGACGAACACCGCAATGTGCTGGATTCCATTAGGATTGAGGTGCTGCAGCTCTACCTTGTAGTAGTGCAGCAACCCCCGAAGGAATTTGTGAGCGGGGGTGGCGAACCCGCGCTCATGGAAGCACACGAAGGACATGATGTAGCCGTCGGGCGGCAACGGCACGTCCTCCTCGCCAGGCAGCCGCCACTCCTCGGCGGTGGTCTGTGCGCAAAGAAGACCGCGGTGGATAAGGCCCTCTAGGCGTTGGAGGGTGATGTCAAAGCGGCACCATGGCTCCATTGGAAGATGAGGGCGGGAGGATGCGAGCTCGATGGCGGCTGGGATGCGAAGGTAGGAGAACTAGGCGATTGGCAGCGGAGTTTGCAGATGTGAAGGCAAGGAGGCAAGGTATGAAATCCTGGGGGCGAACCATTTGGTTTTATAGGAGCGATGGATGCGAGGAAACTAACCGTCCACCTAGGTCTCCGCGCTTGCCATGATCTGCCACCACGTCACGTTGTGGGATATGCGCCCACAATCCCTATCCTTTCCCTCCAAAGACGTGTTGGAAATTTTGCCTCCCTGGGTGGACCAGGACTCATTACGAGTAAGAGGAATACGGGTCGAAAAGCGCCGCTACAGCCCGTCTAGGCCTAGGAGTTCGACGGCTGGCCCATCAATGGGTTCGACAGCCGTCCCAGGCACAATTACGATAAGGGATGGGCCCACAAGCGGCCAGTACTCAGGCGCACGAGCATCACGAGAATTTCGGCCCTCGATCGAGTCTCAGCCAGGTTGACCTTGGCTGGATCCCCACGAATGGGATACCGGGACCCTAATCAAATTATCCAGTTAAGCGAGCCTTCAAATCTCATGGCCACACCCATGAAGGGTCCAGCCTTGACAAGAAGGAATCACCGTCCTCAGGGCACGCCGTGCGCAATAATAGAAAGCCAAGGTCCTTAGAGTCCTCCCTTTCGGAAAACCTCCGAAGGAGTATTCTACTCCTCCGTAGGCTCGGGGGCTACACCCACCGAGAGCGCTCGTGCGCACCTGCTGGCAGGTCAAAAAAACCCCAGGTGATTCTACTCGAATCGCCCGGGGGCTCAAGGGCTACACCCACCGGGTGCGCTCGCGCGCACCCGCTGGCAAGTCAAAAAATCCCCCGGGTGATTCTACTCGAATCGCCCGGGGGCTCGGGGGCTACTGTCGGGGACCAAAACTAGGGTATCCGAAGAGGAGGAGCTAATAACCATCAACATTGATTCATCCAAAGTGATCAGGAGCATGACTGCACCTCTCGCTAGGCGCTGCCTTATCCAGCCACCAAGGCCGCGGGCTTCGCCTCGCCCGACCCCCGAGGGTCGGCTCGGCCTCGGCTGGCTCCCGAGGGTTGGCTCCGCCTTGTCCGACCCCCGAGGGTTAGCTTTGGCTCGCCCGATGTCTGAGGACTAGCTCCGCCTCGTTCGACCCCTGAGGGTTGGCTCTGCCCCGTCCGACCCCCGAGGACTGGCTCCGCCTCGCCCGACGTCTTAGGGCTGGCTTCGCCTCGCCCGACATCTGAGGGCTAGTTCTACCTCACCCGACGTCTGAGGGCGGGCTTCGCCTCGCTCGAGGTCTGAGGGCTGGCTTCGCCTCGACTAATGTCTACGCGCGAGTCCTTTACAACAACGCGCGGAGCATATAAGGCAAGGCGTTCAAAGTCAACTGCAATACCGAGGACCGCACCCTGCAGCCCTGTAGGACAGTACCGTCAGGCCGTGCCAGAAGGGTGATTTGCGACCTTTCAGGCATGTCAGAGCCCAAACAATGTTGTAGGCGCCGAAATTTGCCTTACAGTATTGTGGGCGCCGTCATTTGCCCTTGGGCACGGATCCTTATGGAAGCTCACGACACCCACTACGGTCCAGAAGGAAACTCGCATCACCCACAGTAACAGACGTGCGGTCACTGTACCGCCTGCTCCTTGTATGGCCGCTGATCAGCACCTTGGTCCGCCGCGCCGCCCACCGGGGCGGGATGGGACGTGACAACCCGGTGACAATGCTAGGACATGGCATCGTCAGCGGACAGATGCCCAGTGCGGTCCTGTCAGGGTCAGCGGACAAGCGCCCCGCGTGGAGCTATCTCTATCGCCGCCTGCCATGTCAGCGTGGCCCGCATAGAGGAAAAGGAAGACCCGACGTCCTTAAAGGATTTCCTTTGCCTCTCGTTTTTCTCTTTTCTCCCATCTGTAATCTATGTTCTCCCTTGGCCTATAAAAGGGAAAACAGGGCACCACATTAAGGGATCGATTCGCCGCATCGCATATCATACTACATCACAATGGAACCACTAGTCTCGAAGCTCAAGCACATAGCTGAGCAACAACCGAGCTCCCAGCGCCCACTCGACCTTTCCATCAGAGACTTGGGACATGTCCCTCTCTCGCCCGTTTGTAACCCCTACTATGAACTTTTCAGTGCAAATAACACGAGCAGTAGCCACGAACTGGACGTAGGAACATTCTGCCCGAACCAGTATAAATGTTGTGTCTTTTTAGTACGCCATCCGGGCTAGACGCGCAATAACACAAATTTACTCGTTGGTGTTTAATCGAAACACCGACAAGATTATTGAGTGACTGAAGTACCGCTTAAAACATAATTGGGCTGTGAATAATTGAATAAGTGTATTCATGTTCACAAAAAAAATCAATCTAAAACACACTATTGTACACTTCAACTTTCATGATAGATATATATTAGCTTTTACTGAACAAATACGAAGTTGTTAAAATGTGATAGAGTAATGATTCTACAATTAAGTCCTATGACAAAAAGAAAAAAACAAATATCAGTAACATGAATCCACTTGATACAAAGGACTTGTTTGGAACAGATTTTAGCCAAAACAAGCGGCTCGAGGCCCCCAAACGCCATGGTTCAAGCCAGGCTCCCCTCCTCGTCACCCCCGCCCCCACCCACCCACCCACCTTCCCCACGTGTGATTCTGTCCATCGTGCCATCGGCCCCTCCGCTGTATCCTCTTTGTCGTGCATCGTCCCTGCCTCCTTGTTGGCCGAGATCTGGGTGAGAGGCACCTTCCAGCCGAGATGCAGGTGAGGGGTTACCTTACGCGCACCTCCGCCTCGCCGGTGACTGAGCTGGGAGGTGCTTCCACCTCGATGGTGCACCCCTTCCTCTGTTCATCCTAGGGACAAATTGAGACACAACAACCTGCGCCCATTTGGTCGAGATCTGGGCAAGGTGCCATCGCCAGCTGTGCCCCCCTCCCTATTGTGCCGGAGCCATAACAGGGAGGCACAACGGTGGGAGAGAAGCGTGGTGGAGATAAATTATCCCAAACAGGCCTAATGCACGAGTATATGCATATCTAATTGGTATCATCATATTATATATGCTCCTCCTATAATATAGTATACAGTATAGACTGTTAATATTCTGTTTGATTAATCCTGGGCACAGGGCATTGATGGCCTGATTTGCATCCTAGGCACAGGGCAGAGTTTAGTTTTGCATGCACAAAGCAAGAATCATGTACTAACTTGGTCAATCCATGGATCCACAATGCAGTCGCGTAGCGTGACAAAGTCAAGCGGTTACCTTGGTGGCGAGCGGGTAGTCGCCGTCCATGGCCCACCTGCCGCGCTGGAGATGCGCATCAGCGGCAGCCACCCTGCGCAGGACGGCGACGACGAGACCCACAGCATAGTCCGCAATGTCCACGGAGAACGTCGCGCCGGCGTTGGTGACGGTGATCCCGCGGCGGCGGCAGGCGTCGAGGTCCACGTGGTCCAACCCGACGGAGATCGCGGCCACGAGCTCCAGCGCCGGGAGCCGGTCGATGAGGTCGGCGGTCACTGGCCTGAGCCCCGGCACGAACAGGACCCGGGCCTCGGCCGCCGTGGCCGCGTCGGCGTCCGCGGCCAGGACGAAGCGGAACTGGCCCTCCATCACCGGGGTTAAGCCAGAGTCCGACGGCTGCGACACGAGCACCAACGGCTTGGCCTTGGCGTCCGCGCCGGCAGCCGACGGCGTCATCCTTCCGTTCCCGATTCGATCTGTAGGAGTAGTTGGTTGAAAAATGACCGAGTATAACCAATCATTTATTTACCCATTTATCAGCGATAATCGTTTACCAATTCAGGTGCAAATCTTGTTGCCAATCTCCTGTTACGTGACGGTCCTTACGATGGTGACAGTTGGCACGCCATCAGACGGCGAACATGCTGCTCTGCTCTGCTCTGCTCTGTTTGGTGGGACATGGCAAGATGCACTGCCGACCGCTCGTTGCCACGCCCGCACTGAACACACACAATCCTACAGCCGCAGCCGAGCCGATGGCATCCGCCGCGACGGGCGCGGCCAAGCCAGGGCTCCTCCTCCTGCGCCGCACGGACGCCACCTTCATAGCCGCGCTGCGGGCGCGCTTCCGCGTCCACGACTTCTATGCCTCGGGCGCGGCGCTGCCCGACTACCTCACGGCCGCCGCGGCGGAACCGGACCCCCCGCGCACCGCGCTCGTGGTGGCCGGCGGCGCCATCCTCGTCGACGCGGCGTTCCTGGACGCCGTCCCCTCCGTCGGCTGCGTCGTCACCACGGGCGCCGGAGTGGACCACGTCGACCTCGCCCAGTGCGCGCGCCGCGGCGCAGGCGAGATCTTCTCCGTCGACGTCGCTGACCACGCCGTCGGGCTCCTCATTGGCGTGCTCCGCCGCGTCGCAGCCGCCGACCGCTACGTCCGCGCTGGGCTCTGGCCGGCGCAAGGGGACTACCCACTTACCACCAAGGTTCCATCTTTTTTCTTTCTTTTCTACGGATCTTGGCTTCTTTCCCCCTTCATTCAATTGATTGATCGATCAGCTCAGCGGCAAGCGCGTAGGCATCATCGGTCTAGGCAGCATCGGCTCACAGATCGCCAAGCGTCTCCAGGCATTCGGCTGCGCCATCTCCTACCACTCGAGGGAGCCCAAGGCCTTCGCCCCATACCGCTACTTGCCCGACGCGCACGCGCTCGCCGCGGACTCCGACGCTCTGATCGTCGCGTGCGCGCTCAACGACGCGACGCGACGCATCGTCGGACGCTGCGTGCTGGACGCGCTGGGCCCGAACGGCGTCCTGGTGAACATAGCGCGCGGGGTTAACGTGGACGAGCAGGAGCTGGTCGCGGCGCTGCAGGAAGGGAGGATCGCCGGCGCGGGCCTCGACGTCTTCCAGAACGAGCCGCACGTGCCGCCGGAGTTGCGGGACATGGACAATGTTGTGCTGACGGCGCACGAGGCGGTGTTCACCGAGGAGTCTCGCGCCAACCTCCAGGAGCTCATGATTGGAAACCTCGAAGCCTTCTTCTCCGGGAAGCCGTTGCTGACGCCCGTGCTTCCTCCATAGTGCATAGCATAGCTGATTGATGAGATGGGTACACTACGAGTTGATTCTATATATCTTACTGCAATTATCTTACTGCAATTAGAGTGCATTGCATCTTTGTTTTCCGTGTACAGGCCCAAGAACACTGATGGATGTGCTTTGCTGTCAGTGGCAACTTCAGTGCAAAGCAATGCAAGCACCGGAATGCAGGAATTAGCTAAAATTCGATCGTCTCTTTTGGGATCCAGCAGGCTGAATTGAGTTTAGACTGATCATTAAATCTATCGCGTATCTTGTGCTAGCTGCTTGTCCTCCTGTTCAGCATCCTGGCTGTTGTCTTAATTTCTTCTTCTTTTCTTTGTTTTGTCTTACCTTGTTTATAATTGCATTGCAGATTGAGATTGTGACATTTTCCTTTATACTAAACAGGTTCCATTGTCCTAGTTATACTACACACGAAATCCCAACTTCCGCACTCTGTCTATGCTCAAATGAGTAGCAAATTAAATGGGTGATGACTTGCTCACTACAGAAATATATGACCTTAAACTAGCTAATCTATTAGTTGGTTTTTAGTCGTATCATTGAATTCACCTCAGGTTTTGTCCCAAAAAGTAAATTGCTGTCGCATGTCCTATGTTGAAAGAGATTTCCTAAATTTCACTTTTCTTTGAAGTATGCTAGTTTGCTAGTTACTGGTGCTCTAGCGAGTCTGCAGTAATTTTCTGTTTCTGTTGATCACCCAAACTTGGTTTGCTTGGTTGTATTTGATCAGAATCATGTTATTTATGAGCACGAGAATGGTCAGACACTATAGATAAGATATGGTCTTTCCGAATTAAGTGTGTGGAAAGCTTAAAGTTGCAATGCATTTGTTTCAATTCCCTTTTGTGGGTCTTCTTTTCTTTTTCTAAAATAGCAATAATTAGCCTATCTAACAGTAGTGGATGTTAGAACTTGAAAAGATGCCTTTTCTCCCCCCTGTAGGTCTGTTCGTTTGTCTAAATTCTGGAGGAATCTGGATGGTTTGGAGGAATGCTGGAGGAATCTGTGAGAGAAAAACACTGTTTCGGATGAAAAAATAAGCGGATCAAGCCGGGTTTAAGGGCACGCGAACAGAGCCGAACTGAGTATGGTTGTGAACCTGTTACTGTTAGTAAACCTATTTGCTGGTATGATGGGGGATGGCGTTGTCGATTTGTCTTTCCTACTATTTCGCTTTTCATGAAACCAGATATCTGTTGTTCGATATGATCATTTGGAGCAGCTATATGTTATTTGAGGTTGCCAATTTGCCAAGTTTGTTGTAGTTCAAAGTTCATTCCCTAATGTTTGTTATGTTAGGTCCTGTAGCAGCATATATAACTCAGAGTTACTGTTTGGCTCAGGGCTTGCAGAAAGAAGACAGTGGAAATCCAAACTCTACTGGGAGAAGTCTGTTTCTGCACATTTGCTTCATAAGCTTATCGGTAATGCTAGCATTAAGATGTCTGGAAGGCCGGACGCCTCGCTCTATTCACTGCCGCATGCGCGCCGCTTGCCAAATAAATAAATATATAAACAAAATCAACTCCTGGCCGCCTAGCATTGCTCCGGATGCGCCGCCTGCCCAATGAGCTCCTCTCTCTCTCGTGCTTCCCTGCTGCTCCGCTCTCTCTCACTTTCTCGCTCGCTTGCCCACCTCGGCGCGTGCCCTCCCCCACCTAGGCGGCTCCTTCCAAACCCCGGCGGCGCCCCTCCCACCACCCCGACGTCCTCACCCACCGGGAGACCCCAACGCTGCAGATCTGGTGGCCCTCTTCCCCACCCCGGCGAGATCCATGGAGCACGAGCGAGATCCATGGAGGTGGTGTGGCAGTGTTGCAGGGGAGTGGGCGGCTCATCCCCACCCCGGCGTGGCGCCCTCCCCACCCCCTGCGGTGCCCTCTCTCACCCCGACGACCGAGCTCCCCCCACCCCAGCGGCCATGGCGCTCCTCGCCCCCCATCCCCCACCGTCGCCATCGAGCCAAGCCCTATACTGGTGGCGGTGGTGCTCATGCACAGCCACTCGCCGCTGTCTCTAACCCCGACGACCGGAATCGACCGGTCCAGCCTTTTCTCTCCCCTATGTTGCATGTGTATGTTTCAAGTGTTTTAGGTGTTTCAGATGTATGTTGCAATTGTTTCATATGGATGTTGCACAAGTAGAACTCCGCCTATGTTGTCTCAACATAGCAGGTCCCAAGCCCTGATAAAGGAGGAGGGTTGTGATAGGCGTGGCGAGCCAACGTTAAATCTAGCCATTCTAATAGAGATGAAACCCGAAAGAAAACCGTTGGGGCGTAACCCTCTTAGCGACGCGCCATATCGAAACCCGGGTATGGTGTTAAATGGGCAAGGGTCGGGTCGGCACCTCCTTGGTGATGTGCCATGTCACGATCTAGGCATGGTGTCAAGTGAGCAAGGATCGGGTCGTCGCTTCCTTAGTGGCGCGCTACATCGGCGCCCGGGTGTAGTGAAAAATGAGCAAGGGTCTTCACATCTAAGTCGACGGGTGCAAAGGGTAAGGAAGCTAGTCGAACCAACTAGGATCCGTTTAGGTAGTTGGAATGTAGGGTCGCTTATAGGTAAGTTAAGACAATTAGTTGATACCGCGACTAGGAGGAGTGTAAATATATTATGCGTTCAAGAGACTAAATGAAAGGGTCAGAAGGCGAAGGAGGTGGACAATACAGGTTTCAAGCTTTGGTACACAGGGACAGTCGCGAATAGAAATTTAGTAGTTGTTTTGATTGATAAGAGCCTCAAGAATGGTGTGGTAGGAGTGAGAAGGTAAGGAGATAGGATCATCTTAGTCAAGCTTGTTGTTGGTGATATGGTCTTGAACGTAATTAGTGCGTATGCACCCCAAGTTGGCCTCGACGAGAGTGCTAAGAGACAGTTCTGGGAAGACTTAGATGGCCTGATTAGAGCTGTACCTAGTAGTGAGAAGCTTTTTATAGGAGATCTTAATGGGCATGTATGTACTACAAGCATAGGTTTCGAGACAGTTCATGAAGGTTTTGGGTATGGTAGTAGGAATCCGGAGGGGGAGGAAGTTATGGACTTCGCGGTAGCTTTTGACCTGATGATAACCAACACTTTCTTTAGAAAGAGAGAATCTCATCTAGTGACCTTCAGTAGCGGACAACACTCTAGCCAGATTGACTTTGTCCTCGCAAGAAGAAAGGACAAACGAGCATGCTTGGGTTGCAAGGTGATACCAGGGGCATGTGTTGTTTCTCAACATTGGTGGCAGACTTCCGTTTTTAGGTGCGTGCCCATAGGGATAAAAAAGCTAAGAATGAAAGAACAAAGTGGTGGAAACTGAAAGGGGAGACGTCAGAGGTATTCAGGGAAAGGGTTATCAAAGAGGGCTCTTGAAAGGAAGAAGAGGACATAAACAACATGTGAGAGAAGATGGCAACCAACATTCAGAAGGTGGCCTCAGAGGTGTGTGGAGTAACCAAAGGAAGTGGAGGCGAGGCTAAAGATACTTGGTGGTGGAACAAGGAAGTCCAAAGGGCTATTAAGGAAAAGAAAGAATGCTATAGACGCTTGTACCATGATAGGAGTGTGGACAACATAGAGAAGTACAAGGTGGCAAAGAAGACTGCAAAGCGAGCTATAAGTGTGGCAAAGGGAAGAGCGTAC